AGTTGAACCTTTTTTAAAAATTATTTTTTTTGTTAAGTCAAACACTGTCTTTTCTATCATTTTATGTATACAAAAGAGGCCTGTGAAGCCTAGAATGGCCTAACCCTAGGCCTAACCAAATCGTCCACTTTTAACCCTTTTGGGCCCACTGGGGTATGAATTGTTTCGGGGCCCATTTAAAGCCCTGTGTTATTATTTTTTCCGGGCATTTTGTGTTGAGAAGATGCGCAACGAAGTGCTCTTTCATTTCATATGCGGAAAGCATATCTTGGAACAGGTTTTAACCCTCTCCTGAGCTAACCCTAATTGGTTTAGCAAACTAGGGTTAACCCTAACCCTAGGGTTAATTCTCGCTAACCCCAGGTCTCGACAGGCTAGTGGTCCGCGTACTTGCCTGGCAACTTGGGGGTCCTGGGTTCGAGTCCCAGTTGAACCTTTCTTAAAAATTATTTTTTTGTTAAGTCAAACACTGTCTTTTCTATCATTTTAAGTATACAAATGAGGCCTGTGAAAGGCCTATGCCTAACCAAATCGTCCACTTTTAACCCCTATGGGCCCACTGGGGTATGCATTGTTTCGGGCCCATTTAACCCCAGGTCTCGGCGGCCCAGTGGTCCGCGCACTTGCCTGGCAACTTTGGGGTCCCGGGTTCGAGTCCCAGTTGAACCTTTTTTAAAAATTATTTTTTTTGTTAAGTCAAACACTGTCTTTTCTATCATTTTATGTATACAAAAGAGGCCTGTGAAGCCTAGAATGGCCTAACCCTAGGCCTAACCAAATCGTCCACATTTAACCCCTTTGGGTCCACGAAATGTTCTGGGGCCCATTCAAACCCTGTGTTATTATCTTTTCCGGGCCATTTTGTGCTGAGAAGATGCGCAACCAAGTGCTCTATCATTTTAAGTATACAAAAGAGGCCTGTGAAGCCTAGAAAGGCCTAACCTAGGCTAACCAAATCGTCCACTTTTTTGGGTCACTGGGGTATGAATTGTTTCAGGGCCCATTTAAACATTTCATGCCAGGCTACTTTTAGTTTGTTTACGTTTGTGAACAAAGTGTCTATAACGAGTGATTTGATTGGAGAATATTTCCCTCCAGGAAGTATGACAAATAAGGGTGTGGTTTGGACATGATGTACAATTTGCATCAAGTCATATTTGAAGTTCGTAGCTTGATGCACAGGTCCTTTAAATTCATCAATATGACTTTCATTATAAATAATCTTACACAAGACAGTTCACACAATTTCCTGAAAGAAATCCATCAAATCGCCTTAAAAATTAGATATTACAGTTTTTAAAAGTTAATTTCAACCATTGGCATATTTCTCTTCAGAGATTAGAATCCAGTGTAACTATATCCAAAAATTTAACTTTTGTCATTTCAAGTTTTACTGCAACTTTTTCAGTCAAAAACTTCTTGATTGGCTGAAACTCACTCAACTGTGAAAATCAAACAGACTGTCCCTCTCAGGTTTATTGAAGTCCTTTCCAGGCATTTTCACTTTTTACGTTTCTTGGCTTCCTCCATTTCAGAGATTTGTTTCATTAAGTCTTCTTTAGTAAGAGATTGAATATACAGATTTCGTTCTTCATCAGGATTTGGCTGAAATAAAATGAAAAAGAGTCAGGATACTTTTCTGCCGATTTGGAAAATGAGGATGGGCAATGCAATGCAGTGCGCAATGATGGAAGTCTTGCCAGGATAGCAGTATTACCCTAATCGTTGAAATGGAGTGGCAAATTTATAAACTGGTCTGCCTAAACACTTCACCCTGTTGTCACCTTGACATTGATTAGATGAGATCAAATCCCACAATGCACTGGTCTACCAAAATCTCAATCCATGTCACGTATACCAAAAGCTGCACAATTTAGGCCATAATATGAACTATTTGCAGACCGATATATAACAAATTTAAGGTGCGGGCACATGAGCAATCTTGGTCGGAGACTTTTGTCGCCGATTAGAGTCTTGTCAAGAGTTTTAATGACTGGAACGCGCACACGAGGAGACAAAAATCACCAGACATTCGTTTTCCACCTTGTCGATAATCACGACACGAGCAGGCAATTGAAAGGAAAAGGAATCTGATCGGATGATGACGGTCTGTCTTGCAGAAGATAAAACTATCAGAGACAAGTATCATTATAAATCCTGTCTGTGACTCGATAATCTTGTCATGGAAGCATGGGAATATCTGACTAAGACTGCTTGTGTGCCCAGATCTTTATATGCCTCTACTATGAACATGGGAGGGGCCAAAGTAATTTGGTCACAATACATTTGCAGAAATGTACAGAAAGGACACATTTTGATCAGATTGAAGCAAAAGAAAAATCATTTATACCTTTTGAACTACTATATCTACACCCTCAGGAACATGTACATGTATCATTTCTAATAATATTGGTAGGCTAGGTGAAGGTAAATTATCAAACTGTAAAACAAATATAATATACATGTAAAGAAACATTAGACAATTATACATGTAGAGAAACATTAGACAATCATACATGTAGAGAAACATTAGACAAATATACATTAGACACATTAGTAGCATACATGTAGAGAAACATTAGACAAGCATACATGTAGAGAAACATGTAAAGAAACATTAGACAATCATACATGTAGAGAAACATTAGACAATTATACATGTAGAGAAACATTAGACAATCATACATGTAGAGAAACATTAGACAAAGATACATTAGACACATTAGTAGCATACATGTAGAGAAACATTAGACAAGCATACATGTAGAGAAACATTAGACAATCATACAGTCATGTAAAGAAACATTAGACAATCATACATGTAGAGAAACATTAGACAATCATACATGTACAGAAACATTAGACAATCATACATGTACAGAAACATTAGACAATCATACATGTACAGAAACATGTAAAGAAACATTAGACAATCATACATGTAGAGAAACATTAGACAAGCATACATGTAGAGAAACATTAGACAATCATACATTAGACACAATAGTAGCATATCAGCATTATAAAACTACAGCATTAGACTAGAGCATTAGACATACATACACAGAGTCTTAGACATACATACACAGAGCATTGGACGTATGTACACACTACTGGACATAATTACAAGAAGAATAAATCAAACATATTTGGTTTCCCAATAAGTTCTCACCTGAAAAGATCGTGCATATTTTTTGATGAAATACTGTGACAACACATTGGCTGATTTTGGTTTAAACGTTTGTACGCTAATATCTTTAGTTGGAAAAGGAATTCTGAAGATCGGACAAACAGCACCTTATCACCAAGCAACGCATTTCATCCTCCTTAGCGTATAAACTATTTATTAATGCTTGTTTTATTTTCCGTCAGGTTATCTACCTTCTTAACCAATTTGTGTCCTGGTTTTGTTTTATATTTTAGGTGGCTAAGTTAGAAGAAATCTAAATCCAAGGTGAATGAAACCATATTGCCTAAGATAAGTGGTAAATCAAGATTTAGAAGAACATGTTAAATGAAAGTCAAGTTGGTCCAATAATTGATAATGGAAAATCCTGTTTTGCAAGGAAAGGACAAACAATTTTTTGTGTTTGAAAATATTTAACACAGAAATTAGATGTCTTAATATTTAAATATATGGACGAAATGCATTGTGGCAAGAAAAATTCGGCAAACGCAGAAACAAGTGCTAATAATTTGAAAAAAGGTAACAAAAGCAATGCATCAATATATCCCGAATACAGTTTTGACATAATCGTCCACTTTTAACGCCTTTGGGACCACTAGGGTATGAATTGTTCCGGGGCCCATTTAAACCCCTGTGTTATTCTTTTTCCCGGACCATTTAATGTTGAGAAGATGCGCAACGAAGTGCTCTATCATTTTAAGTATACAAAAGATGCCTGTGAAGCCTAGAAAGGCCTAACCAACTCGTCCACTTTTAACCTCTGTGGAGCCACTGGGGTATGAATTGTTTCGGGGCCCTTGTTATTCTTTTTCCCGGGCCATTTTGTGTTGAGAAGATGCGCAACGAAGTGCTCTATCATTTTAAGCATACTAAAGAGGCCTGCGAAGCCTAGAAAGGCCTAACCTTAACCACTTTAAACACCTTTGGGCCCACTAGGGTATGAATTGTTTCGGGGCCCATCTAAACCCCTGTTATTCTTTTTCCCGGACTATTTTGTGTTGAGAAGATGCGCAACGAAGTGCTTTATCATTTTTAGTATACAAAAGAGGCCTGTGAAGCCTAGAAAGGCCTAAGCCTAACCAAATCGTCCACTTTTAACACATTTGAGCCCACTAGGGTATGAATTGTTTCGGGGCCCATCTAAACCCTGTTAATCCTTTTTCCGGACCATTTTGTGATGAGAAGATGCGCAACGAAGTGCTTTATCATTTTTAGTATACAAAAGAGGCCTGTGAAGCCTAGAAAGGCCTAACCCTAAGCTTAACCATATCGTCCACTTTTAACCCCTATGGGCCCACTAGGTTATGCATTGTTTCGGGCCCATTTAACCCCAGGTCTCGGCGGCCCAGTGGTCCGCGCACTTGCCTGGCAACTTTGGGGTCCTGGGTTCGAGTCCCAG